TATTCTCTTAATGGAAATCACAGAACTAGCCTCCTTACTTCAGAAAAGCAGTTTTCTCTTTTGGAATCAAAAAACATCACAGACTAAGGAAACAACTACATTATCCAATTTACAGTGATATAAGATGATCTCATTTAATATGTTAAAACGTATCAGATAAAGTAACTTTTTGGAACAAGAAGTAACTCAGATTTAGAGCATTTTATTAGCAAGGTATTTTAATCTTTCTTGTAGTTTTTGTTGCATAAGTGTCACATACCTTTAAAACTATGTTACAGTCAGCCCTCCATATCCATGAGCTCCACATATGCAGATTTCACCAACCACAGATCAAAAATATTTGGAAAAAAAAAATGTATCTTTACTGAGTATGTACAGACTTTTTTCTCTTGTCATTATTCCGTAAACAATACAGTATAGCAACTCTATACATAGCATTTATATTGTATTAGGTATTATAAGTAATCTAGAGATAATTTAAAGTATACAGGAGAATGTACATAGGTTGTATGTAAATACTACATCATTTTATATCAGGAACTTGAGCATCTGTGGATTTTGGTAGGTGAAACAGATCCTGGAACCAGTCCCCTCAGATACCAAGGGACTACTGTATTTATTTTCAACTAGACTGCTTAAATATAGACTGTGTTCTTCAGCTAGCAGATTCTGAGGAATGGAGGAATACAGAGTTTATATTTTTTTAAGATCATTCATTGATTTTTAAACATTTATGGGGCTGATCCTGGCAATTATTTATTTGTAAGTCATTCTTTTTACCTCAAAGGATTTTTATGATATGAGGATATGAGGAAATTTGGATTAAATGCTTTACATAGAGAATATATGTTACTTCATAATAAAAATGTAAATAAAGCAATAGGTATGGGGAGTCCTTTTTATTTTTAGTCAACACTGGGTCAAGTACTTTGGGTACTCATATGTACCCTCAGAGAGTTTACAGTTCAGATGGAGAGAAAACCTAACATTTATGCAACACCAGTACACATTGAAAGACAAGGTAAAATTATGTGCCTATTTACAAGGTACAGGCTACCAACAGCGTAGAAAGAAGTACAGAGGCAAGAGGAAGAAGGAGAAACATAGTTTCCCGTAAGGATCCCAGATGAAGATGGGTTGGAGAATATTGAGAGAAAGGAGCCCCCATTGATAGAAGCCAATATAAGAATTTTCGCAGAACTAGGGGTAGCCTTTAGATTTCTTGGGATTTTTTATGTATACAATCATGTTGTCTGCAAATGGAGGCAGTTTGCTATCTTCCTTTCTAATGTATATGCCTTTTATTTCCTTTTCTTATGATATTGCACTGGTTAAAAGTTCTAGCACTGTGTCAAATAAGACTGGTAAGACCTGACATCTTTGCCTTGTTCCCAACCAGAAGCAAAGCTTTGGCCTTTCATTATTAGCCATAATGTTGCTGAAAGTTTTTTTACATGCTGTTTATCAATTTCAATTCTTTTTAAATTTGTTGACGTTTTATGACCTAGAATATAGTCTGCCTTGGTATACCTTCTGTGACACTTGAAAAGAGTATGTATTCTGCCGCTGTTGATTGGATTGTTCTACAAATGTTGATTATATCCTATTGCTTGATAGTGCCACTCAGTTCTGTATCTTTGCCGATTTTCTATCTAGTCATTCTCTCAATTTTTAAGAGACGACTGTTAAAGTTTACAAGTCAATTGTGGATTTATCTATTTCTCATTTTATTTCTACCACTTTTTGCTTCACATGCTTTGTAGTTCTACAAAGCATGTAGAGCCTGCTGTTTGGTGCATACACATTTAGGATTGCTATGTCTTCTTGACAGATTACCCTTTATCATTATATAATGTCTTTCTCATTCTCTGTCTTTGCTCTGAAGTCTGCTTTCCCTGAAATTAATATAGCCACTCCTGCTTTCCATTGAACAATATTTTCATATTATGTCTTTTTTCATCCCTTTGCTTTCAATTTGCCTGTATCATTATATTTGAAGTAAGTTTCTTATAACAGCATATAGTTCGGCCATATTTTTAAATTCATTCTGTCAATCTCTGTCTTTAAATTGGTATGTTTGGGCTATTTACATTTAATATATTCATTGATATGTTGGAGGTTTAAATCTGTGTATGTGTTTTTTTCTTTGTTCACTAATTTTTGCAGCTCTGTGCAGGGGAGGAGCAGGGATTGGTCCCCTATCTTCCTATGGATTACCTGAACATATTGTAGAATCCCACTTTGATTTATCTTGGTGTTTTTGAGTACATCTCTCTATATGGCCTTTTTAATGGTTACTGAAACTATTAGTGTGGATTTGGCCTCATTACTGCTGGGTGATGTAGAAAGTCCTAACTCTCCACTAAGCCTCCTCTGACACCATCTCAGTGGGAGAGGAAAGATATAATTCATTACAGCCAGGAGGGGATGGAAGTCCAGGCTCCTCATGTGGTCACTACTAATACTGCAGTGGTGGTGGTGGTGGTGGTGGCAGTGGGGGATAGATGAGGGCTCATTACTACCCTCTGGGGATAAAAATCCCAGCTCCCAGTTTGTCTCTGACATCACCCTGGTAGGAGATGGAGCCTTGAGGGGTCCATCATGGGATGCCTCATTACACTCTGTCAAGGGTAGAAGTCTAGGCTCCCCATTCTATCTTTGGTGATAAGGATGAGGTCGTAGTTTTTTCTGTGGTGTTGGCTGCAGTCAAGTGGTTATTGTCTGAAAGGTTTTAGTCTTGCTAGGCTTTCTCTTTCTTGGTCATTTTGGTAGAGAGAGCAGACTTTTATTGGGGCTTTTTTGGTCTGCTTCCATTGGCATTTCCAGGTAGCTGCCTTCTTCAGCTCTTAGTCCGGGATAATGGGGCAAAGAGATAACCCAGGGGGTTTGCCATGGAATTATTCTTGGTCCCTAAAATCCCTAGCTGGTCTGCTATCTTCTCCCCACCTTTCAGAATCTTTCTATTTTTTAAAATACGTAATGTCTAGGATTTTTCATTGTACTTCGCCAGAGGGAGAGGGAACAGTGTAACTACTACAGCTATCTTCCTAGAAGCAAAGATCCTATAAATATTATTTAATTAATGACAATTTAATTGTTCATTTTCAAAGGCCCTGTTAATCTACCTGCTATTTTTCAGTACGCCATTGGGTAGGCTTTTTTCCTCATGCTGCACACTTAAAAGTATACATATTAGGCTGGGTGCAGTGGCTCATGCCTGTAATCCCAGCACCTTGGGAGGCCGAGGCAGGCGGATCACCTGAGGTCAGGAGTTCAAAACCAGCCTGGCCAACATGGCAAATCCCCATCTCTACTAAAAATACAAAAATTAGGCAGGCATGGTGGTGGGTGCTTGTGATCCCACCTTCTCGGGAGGCTGAGGCAGGAGAATCGCTTGAACCTGGGAGGTGGAGGTTGCAGTGAGCTGAGATTGTACCATTACACTCCAGCCTGGGCAACAGAGAGAGACTCCATCTCAAAAGAAAAGAAAAAAAAAAGTACACATATTAGTCAGGGTTCTCCAGAGAAACAGAACCAACAGGATTATATAAAGAAAGAGATTTAGTCTAAGGAATTGGCTCACATGATTATGGAGGCTAGCCAGCCCAGCTCTAAGATCTTCATGGCGAGTTGGCAAACTGGAGATCCAGGAGAGCTGATAGTTTAGTTCTAGTCCAAAGGCCTTAGAACTAGAGAAGATGATACAGTTTTAGTCTAACCATGATAAGCCTGAGATCCAGGAAGAGCTGGTGTTTCAGTTCAAGTCGAAAGGCAGGAATAATTCTCCCTTATTCAAGGATGGGTCAGTGCTTTTATTTCAACCACTTGGATGAGGCCCACTCACATTATGGAAATTAATCTGCTGTATTCAGTCTATCCATTTAAATGTTAATCTCTCTAAAAACACCCTCACAGCAACACCTAGAATGTATGACCAAATATTAGGGCACCCCATGGCCCAGTCAAGTTGACATATAAAATTTATCATCACAGTATGCAAACATTTAAAAGCTCAGGCCTACCAAACTGGTTAAGTTGGACCTAAATATGAACTCTGACAGAACACGTTCACAAATTCACATTTGAGGTTCACTTTGAGATACACAGAGAAACTCAAGGGAATGAGTAAAGTCTTTGATAGATCAAAAATTTGCTTAAAGGAAGCAAGCACTAAAACCTGAAAGTTAGTGTGATATTATGAGAAATAAGAACCTTCTGGTCACCATGTTTCTTCAGGAGAGCTTTATAAACAGGAAAACTGTTAAAACTTTTATTTTTCCTGATTCTTAGGGTAAGAATTTATTTTTTCTATTGTGGAAAGGTTAAAAAATTCAAACTAGGAATTTCTCATGACCTGTAATCCCTTTGTCACAATCTTAACATGTCCCCCTGGGCCAGCATCTAATGTCAAGGCCTGGCTGGTTCTGGGTGCAGGCATCACTTGCTGGGGATAGCTTCGGACTCAAATAGACTTTAGTTCCCAGGCGTGTGACCTTGGGTAAATGGCTTTACCTCTGTAAACAGCAGTCTTTTTATCTAAGAATAGAGGGATTTCATATCTGTAATCAGTAGTTATACTGTAAGAATTAAATAAAATAACATCTATGAAGCGTAGTGTTGAACATGTAGTAGCCACACAATAATTCTCGCCCTGACCACTTCTTATCATCATAAGACAGCCTTTTGTCATTGTAAACTCTTAATAAATACCATTTTTTAAAGGCTGCAAAACGTCCTCTTGTATGAGTATTCTATAATAAAACATTCCCTCCTAAGGTGACACATCTAAGTAATCTTTAACTTTCCAGTTTTATAAATGAGATTGCCATCTTGGTGCTTAAATATCTGTTTCACTTTGGATCATTTCCTTAAGTGCAGCTTCTTTGAGGTAGAATTAAAAAGTGAAGAGATAGAACCTTCTAGAAAGGTGGTACCAAGATTGCACTAGCAATGAGAGAGAGAGAGAGACTTTTCTGATTTTCAAACTTTATGTTTTCTAGAAGCATCAGATGGTGAAGGAGGAGGAGACACAGAAGTAATGCAGCAGGAGACAGTTCCAGTTCCTGTACCCTCAGAGGAAACCAAACAGGTGAGGGGTCACTGTGGGAGAGCCACCGCTGTTAAATTCTGAAATCAGCCTTTTCCTCCTCTCTGTTGTTGAACTCCCCATGTCCTAATATCGGTTGTTGGGGGGATTTAAGAGAGCCTTTTACTTTCTTTCCGTTTGAAAAGGCCATGGGCCATGCTTCCTTCATTGTAAACCAGCAAGGTCTGTTTTTTGCTCTAATTCTTTTTCTTCCCTTTTTTTTTTTTTTTTTTTTTGGAGACAGGATCTTGCTTTATCACCTGGGCTGTAGTACAGTGGCACAATCATGGCTCACTGCAACCTTGACCTTCTGGGCTCAAGCAATCCTCCCACCTCAGCCTCCCGAGTAGCTGGGACACCACAGGCATGCGCCACCACACCCAGCTAATTTTTTTATGTTTTGTAGAGATGAGGTTTCTCCGTGTTGCCCAGGCTGGTCTCAAACTCCTGAGCTCAAGCAGTCTACTTGCCTTGGCCTCCCAAAGTGCTGGGATTACAGGTGTGAGCCACTGCTCCTGGCTCCTAATGTTTTTTAACTATATAAATGTATTTCACAATAATGATATCTTAGATTCTTACATCACATTTTTGCCAAAAATTCAGCCTTATGCTTTTGGGTACAATTCCTAAAAGGAGACAAATAGCATAGATAGAGAAGATTATCACACACTCGAGTATATGATTACAGCACCAGGCCATGCTGCCAGCAGGCTCCTGGGACCTTATTCCTACCCAGCATTATGGTCTGTCATATGCATTCTTAACAGGGGATCTGTGGTCTTTGCATTATCAGAATTGGCCATTTGGATAATCTTTTTTCCTAAACCTGTGACCTTTTATTGCCTTTTAAATCTTCCTACTGACTTTAGAAATGCTACTCGCATCCATTTGTAGCTTTTTCTCCTTGGGTTTCCATCAAACCTGATTGGTATTTAGTTTGGTGCAAAAGGAATTGTGGTTTTTGCCATTACTTTTAATTTAAAAAAATTACTTTTGCATCAACCTAATAAATCTGTGTGATTTGGGCTTTTTGGGGTTTTCTTTGTTTGTTTTTGAGATAGGGTCTTGCTCTGTTGCCCAGGCTAGGGGACAGTGGCACAATCATGGCTTACTGCAGGCTCAACCTCCCAAACTCAAGTGATCCCCCCACCTCAGTCTCCTGAGCAGTTGGGACCACACTGGCTAATTTCTTTATTTTTTTGTAGAGATGAGGTCTCACTATGTTACCCAGGCTGTTCTCGAACTTCTGGGCTCAAGTGATCCTCTTTCCCTTGGCCTCCTAAAGTGCTGGGATTACAGGCATGAGCCACAGTGCCTGGCTTATGTGTGAATTTTTAAAGGACTGTCTACTACCAATCCAAAGTTACTGTATTTTTCATTGCAACAATTTGGAGTCTTATTCTTATTGTAGGTGCTTTAAACTCATTACACCAGAGTGTTATTCTACCCAAAGTTTGTGACCTAGCTCAGGATAACTGTAAGAAGCAATTTAGTGTAGTGTTGCTTAACTTGCCCACCTAAGTGGGCAAGTTAAATTTCTGTGTGACTCAGTCACCTTCTTGGTAAATGGTAATAATTATGTCTTCCTCACAGAGTTGTAATGATGATTAAATGAGTTGGTACTTGATAAGCACTTCAAACAGTGGTTATCAAAGAGAATCACTGAAGTGTTCATTATTATAGCTATAGTTAATAATTATAATCTTTTTTATTTTGTCCATTATTTTTTCTTCCTGGGAAGGGATATGCAGAAAGGTATACATGTTTAATATATAGTCATCTTGGTTTTTTTCTCCAACCATTAAATATTTTGCTCAAAGGCCCTATACTGGTTTTAATTTTAATCATTCTTCTGGAAACCTACACATCCTTAGCTTTTCTATTTATTTCCTCAAGGTGGGGTTTAATTTTTCCGTAGCTTATCCCACTAATCATACCATAGTCATGCCCTGTTTGACTTTTGCCTCTAATCAGTGTCTACCTACAGGACTTATTTGCACGTATTCTTCTTTATACTCCATTGGCTTTCGTTTTTTCTTGGTTTCCCCTTGATTTTCTTCTTGTTTGTTCCTCTTTCTGGACCCATTGGTAAAACAAAAAAGACCTTTTATTGAGCAGTTAATACTGTCACTGTATAAAGCACACTGTACCATATAATCCTGACAGCATCCTTAGGAGGTAGGTGATACCCACTTTACAAGGCTCAGAGGCTCAGAGAGACAGGTTCTGGGGGTCACAGCCCATCTGGTTGGCTATGAGCCAGGCTACGAGGATACTGTTGCTTTCACTTCCCTTTTTACCTGTCCTTTCTCTTTCAGCTGAGGAAAATTGGATTAACTATGTTCTAATGTGTTTTGTTGGTCACATGCCATTGCTATTTTCTGCCAAGCAAAAAAATAATTACAAAATCTTAAGCTGTTACTGCCCATTTTAATCACCTTTCTCTTGCTTTAATTTCTTTCACCACCAAATTGCTTTGAAGAGTCCAAGTCCTCGGTAAGCAAAATGCCCTAACCCCTTTCTCCAACCCTGTCCTAATTTCCCCAGCCAGAGAAACATCCTTTTTCTCTGAATTGACATGAGAATCTGCGTGTGCCCCTCTGCCTCATATGAGTGTTGCCCATCTTGGTCCCTGCTTATCCCCAGGAGGCTCACCTCAAGGACAGATTTTATCTGTGCGTCTCCACAGCGCCTGGCATGGAACCTTGCCCTTAATTGGCACTCATTATTTGTGAATGAAGGAATGAATGACCATACCGGTATCCCAGTTTTCTCATAACTCTTCCCATCTCAGCCCTTTGTCCAGCTTGTGAGCCGTCAGCTCCCTGACACAGCTGCCTGCAGAGGTCTTTTGGGGCCTTGTGATGCCCTATCCCTCCTCCAGCCGCATCCCTGATTTCCCAAAACAATTCCCTCCTTGAAAGGCTCCTCCACCTTGACATTCAGGGCTGGAGTCTGTCCTGTCCATCCCTGCCTGCCCACACAGTCACCCAGCTCCCCTGTGGCCTCCTTTGTCCTCTCTCTGCCACTGCTCTTCTCCCTCTGGAACTTATCCCGAACTTATCCCACCACCCCAAGGATGACTTACTTGTCAGGCATACTGTCTGTCCTTTCAGGAGTCCTTCTCTAATTGTTTACACTCAGAACTTGAGTCTCCAGCTGGTTCATAAGTCCCTTGGGCCAGGGTTTCTTTTGTATCCACTATAGTAGCTAACACAGTTTGGGGCTCTTATTTGGCAGATATGGCCAGATGTGTGTTTTCTAAATATAACTGCATTTTTTCTGGATCAATTTTTTAAAAATTTTATGCTGTATTTAAATTTTAGATTTGTTTCAGATTTGTTTAAGACTGTGCTGTTCTTTCAGTTTGTCTTTATGCTTGTACAGGAACCACTTGGCATGATGCTGTCAGCTGTAATACACATTTAGGCTTTAATATCACCAGGCAAGAGCATCTGTCAAGATAGATGATGTTCCCTCCTTTGCCGTAGCTGGGCCTCACATTTGTGTCAGTGAATACATTATTGCCTCTAGTTTGTTCATATTTTAGGCAGCAGATTTATAACTTTCAAGTTTTTAAATCCATGCAACTACCTCATCTCTAGCAACCATTTCACATCTAAATAATAATCCTTGGCCTGCTTAATAATGTGAGTATAAAGATCTGCCAACAGTTCTTTTTTCCCTAGTAATCACTTCCAAAATAAATGATGAGTTCCCTACTCCTAGAGATTGCATCACCCTCTTCCCTCTTCAACATCAGTCATTTCAGAGCCAGCCCTAGTGACTTTGTAATTATGGTTCCCAGAATATAAACCCTTACAAAGGATTTTGTGACTTTTGCTTGATGCTTCCATGATGTCAGTAGCATTTCAGTGGTTCCATGACCCATCTTCTCCTGCTCAGAGACCACAGTGGACTTCTTTTTTCTTCGCTGTCCTTTTGTTTATCTCCTTTAATCATAAAGGAATCTTCAGCAGGAGTGTTTCTCCCTTTCCCTTCTTACTTTCCTTTCTCTACTGTTGTATTTTCTTGCTACTGCTTTATTTGAGCATTGGTCATTTCATATTTCTTCCACTCTTTATCTCCAAGATTATGCTTATCTATTGTTGAAAGAAAACAGGACTATGTCCTATTCATTCTCTAATTCACCTTTTTCCTTTTCATTATGTTTTCTCAGTTCTGTTCTTTGTATTAATCTATTGTTTCATTGACAAATTGCCCAAAACTTAGCAGCTTAAAATAAAACAAAACCATTTAGCATGTCTTATCAGGTACCAGCCAAGTTGTGGGCTGGGGCTGGAGGCTCATGGGGAGAGTTTACCTTGCAGCTCGCTTGTGTAGTTATTGGCACGTCTCAATCTCTCACCATTTGAGCCTCTCCACAGGGTTGCCTCACAGCATTGCAGTTGCCTTTCCCCAGGCCGAGTGATCCAAGAGGGAACCAGCAAAAGCACCCAAGACAGAAACCACAATCTTTTTATAGTTTATTCTCAGAGTTAACACCTCGTCACTTCTGCCATATTAAGCAAGTTAGTAAATCCAGGCCACATTTATGGGGAAGAGATTACAAAGAGATTACCAGGAGATCGAGATCTTGAGGAGCTATCCTGGAATCTGGCTACCACACTCTTCCTCTGGCCCCTCAATGACTTACATCCCTTCAACGTGCAGAATATACTCACCCCTCCAAGGATTGCAAAGTCTCATCCCATTGCAATGTGAGCTCAATATCCAAAATCTTGTCATCTAAATCAGGTCCAGGTGCAGTTGGGGCTCCTCAGTTTTAATTCCTTAAGTACAGTGCTTTGAGTACATTGCTTCTCAACCTATGAAACTAAAGAGACAAGTTACCTCTCCCACATGCTCAACACACAGTGGTGGGACAAGTGTAGGATAACCTTTATTGACATTTCTATTCAAAAGGCGGCAAATAGGAGGCACATGGAGTCATTGGTACACAGCATTCTGAAGGCCATCCAAGCAAATATCAGTTTATTTAT